TGGTTGACTGTCAAAGAAGAGCTGGAGGAATCAGGGATGCACTAAAGACTGCTACAACTCTGGTCCTGATAGCACTGAAAACAACCCCTGATGCCCACATCATAAAACAGCAAGTCAAACTGTGGGCCTCAGTGAAACATGAGCTGACAAAGAATCTTCAGAATGGAGAAAAACTGTTTGAAAGATCCAGGTTTGTAAAACAGTTCAAAAGAAATATCACATAAATTTTTATTTTTTTATGTGGATTAATTTGAAAGCTTGTTTGTTATAAGCTGATCTCATATGATACTGTGTAAACAAAGTTAAGATAGTGCAAAAAGGATCACATGCATGCATGTTGATTTCATAATCACTCAGAATGTACCTTCTGAAATTATTATGACACAACCATGGAAATGTAAGAGATTTTTCTTCTCATTTCTCAAAAATCCCAGTTTATTGCAGGGTCAAGGCTTCCCAGGGATTGGACAAATTATAAGAGGGAAGAAAAATGGGGGCCTTCTCCTTATAGTTTTTATTGTTGACTCTGGAGATAAAAGTTGTAGTGATCATTTAAGTTTAAATGATATTATAACAGCATAGAAGAATGGTAAGAATCAATAAAAGAGGAGACAGTCTAAAGAAATTTGTTGGTTCCTCTTTTCTTCCCAGAACCCTATGCAGTGCATTTGCAGAGCATGAACATGCAGAAGATGTTGAAGGAAGCCAGCTTTGTTTTGTTTTACAGGAAGAGCTTGCTTGTTACAAGGCAAAAAGGTAACAACAGGAGCTTCTAACAAGATTTTCATTCAAATCCTGATATTTCACATAATGCTTTCTTTTGTAAGTGACGTACCTGCCCAAAGGTTTAATTTGCCCTTAACTGTTTTCAGCTATGACACAGCAGTAGAGCAAATTGCAGTTATCAAACAGATAATGGAGCTGTACCTTGTTCAAGAAGATGAATTCCACCATGCATCAGCTATGTTAGAACTTGCTATAGCTTTGCATAGCCTAGGAGATGTAGAGCTTGAAGAAGAGAAGTAAGTGTTTTATCCTGGAAGATTAATAGTTTCTTGCATTAAAGGCCTATAGTGCTGTTGGACAGGATGGCAAAATGATTGATTGCATGTAAAACAAGATTGCATGTAAAAAAAATTGCAAAAGGAAGGAAGGTTTGGTTACAGTTAAACCTGTGTCAGGCAGGCACCTTGTATTAAGTGGACTCTACTGACCCAAGCCTGAATTTTTTTCTCCCATATACATGTTGTGGTGCAATTTTATCCTTGGTTCAAATTTTCTTTTCCTTTGTTTTTGGGTATTGTAATGTATGATAGTGAGTTTAAAACAAAGGAAAATAAAATTTGAACTAAGGATAAAATTGAACCACAACATACACACATATTTTGAAACAATCATTTACTCAGCTGATACCTCTTCAAGTGGACATGGACATCAAATTTAAACCCTTTTCAGTTTAATCCTTTCTCAGTACATAAAACCTGCTTCAATTGGGAACCACTTTTAGAAATTTGAGTCGCATTTTCTTAAAGTTTTACTTTTAATGGTTTCTACTAGTAATTGAGTGTTATTCCTACCCAAAATGGTCAGATTCTAAAGGTTGCTTCTTAAAACTTTGTTTTATTTGGGGTGTAACCCTTTACCTCTTAAGAATGACTGGGATCTAAATGTCATTTCTCCTTATAGCATCACTGCTCAATCAAACATTAAGGTCATGAGAATAAAGAAATTAATTCAGCAAACTAAAGAAGCTCATGATTTAGAAGCAAACTTCCCTTGTCAGTACTATATGAAATGTATAAGGAGCAGTTTGGAAAACATAGATGATGTATACCAGTAATTTGTACCTATGGTCATTTCATACCCATGGTCATTTTGTACCCATGGTTGTTTCATAACCACAGTCATTTCATATCCATGGTTGTTTTGTACCCACAATCATTTTGTACCCATATAAGTTGTTTCATACCCATGCATGGTCGTTTCATATCTACAGTTGTTTTGTACCCATGGTTGTTTTGTATCCAGTCATTTCATACCCAAATTCAGTCAATTTGTACTCAGTTTGAGCCAGTTTGTACCCAAATGGCTGGTTCATTCCTACCTGTCTCAATATACATTCATTCAAAATACCTCACACACAAGCACATGAACACATGTTGATTGTTGTGTATGACAAATTAGTAGAGCCAAGCAATCAAGATCCAAGCAAAATTCTTTTGTGTATACAATAAGTGTGATATTTCTAATGAACCAGTCTATTGTTTACACTTTTGACTTTCTTGACAATAAAAGTTACTGGAAGTGTGATATTTTTTCCCCTTAGTTATTAGCAGTTATAGATTTGTTTATTTGTTTATTCTATTCTTACTATAAATACTTAACACGGAAAAGATACTTTTTTAGTATGGGTACAAAAGGACTTAACTGACTGGGTGCAAATCAACAGAACTGCATGGGTACAAAACAGCTGTGGGTACAAACTGACTGGTAACAACACAGTAGGTTGATGTTTTAACTATTGTTGCACAACTTACTGAACCCTTATTAAGCAAACATTAGCAAGAGTTCTGCCAGAGCCTGCTTAACATGTAACTCACTGCATCTTTGTTTCTTCAGATCTGCACTTGAGTACTGTCAAGAAGCTGGGGAGATTCTAAAGCAGTTATTGGACTCAGAAGGCTGCAAAGATGAGGAGGGAAACTTGCAAGCATGTCTGCTGGATAGACTTGGTGCTGTCTATTTATGGCAGGCTTTGTTTGAGCACAAAGATGCCATGAATGACAGAGCAACTTCAGTGATGCAAGAGCTCAGTGACAGTTATGAAGCCAAAGAGGTACACCAGTCTTGATAAGATCTGAAAGATTAACTTCTCAAAACCAATGACAATGTGTTTCTCTGTTAGCTAGTACTGAGAATTTACAGTTACCTCCCAAAGCCTTATTAAGTAACCTTTTTGATAGTTTTTTTTGGCTCCTCAGCTCAACAGGCTTAGAGAGTAAAAATACAGAGTTAATATGAAACTAACTTAAGCATACAAATCTATTTTTTCTTTCTTCTCTTTTTGCAGTACCTCTCTGGAAACTATTAGTTATAGATAAAAATAAAATGATATTGTTAGCTTACATCCTTACTAAGTGTGACTTATGTTAGAGAGGCACTGGTGAAAGTTAAAGGTTAAGTCCATACCTGTGTGAATTGATCCAGCCAGGAGTGTTGCCACTAACCCTGGATGGGGTGCTTTTCCATCATGGGTTACCCCTCTGTCCTAAGCATTTAGTGAGGCTCCCCTGACAGTTTGCTGGTACCCATCTTTACTTCTGGATGCAGAAAGGCATTATTAGAATAAAGCATCTTGCCCAAGAACACAATTTGATGACCTACCCAGGTCTTGAAGCTTGACCTCTTGAGGTCATATTAGCTGTTAGGTCATTGTGCCTCCAACTAAGGGAGGCACTGGAGCAAGATTTTATTTCAGTTAACTTGAAGTCGAGAGTGTTACTTGGATGTGTAAACCAGAATTGGACTGATTTTACATTGTTCCTTTTTATTAACAAATTTGCAGGAACAAATTGTTTTCTTTGATAAAATTTCATGTGCCTGTCCTACTATGAACGTGAATTTTGTTATCAGTTTTTTTTTTCTAACAACAGTATACATGTACATGACTTGTGTGACCATGCAGAAGGGAAAGGGGTTGTGACATTGGACCTCAGGTGCATCCCTAAAAGTATCTCTTTCCCATTGGACCTCAGGTGCATCCCTGAAATTATCAGACTGTTAAATAAAACTTTGGTGCTACATTTCAGATAGAAGATATTTGCCTGGAGCAACCATTTATGGCATCACTTCATGCAGCTTTGGAAACATGGACGGCACTAAGAACCAAATCACTGCAACAAGACCCCAGTGGAAAGGTAAATGTTTCCTGGTGAAAGCATTTTGGGACAATGTATACTTTTTGATCTTGTCAAAACTTTTTATGTTGTGAGATTTCTTTCTTTGAAACTGAGTGAACTTATAGTATTTCAAGAACAGTTTCTTTCATGAGGAATTTGTCATGAGAACTAAATACGTAACTGATCAGCTATTGATACTTTTAGACGTTTCACCATTTCACAAGGTCACCACCACCCCCCCCTCCCAGTATTTCATCAGGCTTCCCTTGACAGTTTGCCACCAGCCATCAATACTCCTGAGTTAAAAGAGGTGTTGTGAAAGTGCAGTGTTTTGCTCATGAACACAACACAAAGACACAGCCAGGTCTCAAACCCAGACCTCATGACTATAAGTCCACAGCACTAATCATTGGGCCACTGCATCCCCCATGGTAGATCATACATTTTATTCTTGGATTAATGTTAGCCTCAATTATTTTTTCATGTTTCAGGTTAACCTGGACCATTTTATTAATCCTGAGGAGACGTATCGTTACTTGCTTATCACAGCAGAAATTTTTGGGCTTTTAAAACAGGTGAAACTTGCTACATACTTTCATAGGTGACAATTTGGATTTCTCACAAGCAGTGACTGTTCATGCAGTGCTGTCATAACATTATGACCTTAGTAATAGGAATGTTTTTCAGCACAAGGAATGACAACAGTGTGAAGAGATTTTTCTATATGATGGAAAAGTCTATCATTCAAAAGATTTTCTCCATTCAGGTCTTTTTTATTTTGTAAAATGAAAGTGTTATTTAAGTCCTTCACTTTGTTATCAGTGGTGTAATGAATGATTCAGCTCCTGCGTCAGTAGGGGTTATAACAAGATAGTGTGGTTTTATCAGCGGGGTTGATAATATATAATCAGTGTATGTTCCTGAGGGAAACAGTTTTGTTTTCCCAAGAGTCCTGATGTTCCATAAGACAAAGCTAAGGGAAAACAAAACAAGCTAGGGTTAACTTTCCCAAGGGACCATCAATTAAGTGCTTTGTCATATATTTAGACTTTTCCTTAAACAATCATTTGGCAAAAACAAACAAACAAAGACACTGATCACATGCTGTTGTATTTGGCATGCAGGCAACAACTGCACAATTGTATCCTGGTCAGGGTACATTTGAATTCGATCAGGGGCATGTGACCAAGAATCAACCAATCACAGTGTTCATTTTGTTGAGTGAAAGTTGAGGTATATATATTAACTGGCCACTGAAAAGAGTTTTTGAAGCTGATGTTAGGTTAGCTCTTCATCAGAGCTAATAATGAAGGGCTAATACTTGAAATATCAGCTTTAGAAACTCTTTTTGGCAGCAAATTTACATGTACATAATCAACTCAGCTGATGAAACCAAATTATGTAAAGTAACCCCCACAGTTACTCATTAGAAACTTTCCCCTTTTATTCTTTTAACGAATGAATTGTTCCTCGCAGCCCCTCAAAAAGGTTGGTGCTCTGTACATGGCTGCCAGTATATCCCAATCATTTGGTACCAAAGATATGCTGGATAGTGGATTGTGTGCCCTAAGTGATGCTGTTCACTTGATGTGTGACATGCTGGACTTGTCACATGCTTCAGTTATTCTGTCTCATGCCACCAACCTGATGAATAGATTTGAGCCATGCAGTACATCATGGGTTCAATTCTTGTTGGCCAAGAGTCACTATTTGCTGGTGACAGGAAAGGTATAAATAATCAAAATCATTATAAACCCTTGGCTATCACTTCCATAAGAAATTTTCCCCCCTGTCTACCTCACTCTTCTCATGATGTTAGTTTGGAGAAGTCGGTAGTGGTTCCTATAATAATTCCCTGATGAATATTTTTCTCTATTCTTATCACTTGTCTGCTTGTTATTATTGTTATTGTTGTTGTAAGGAGAATCCTGTCTTAGTCACACTCAATCATGCAGACATATGGTACACTTGCTATTACTAGGTGCCAAATAACTTGGAACAACTTTAAGCAGGGAGACTATGAACCAGCTAGTCTCAGAGATCAAATTGTAGTATATAGTGTAAGGGGGCCCCTTTAGATTCTCTCATCTCACTTGGAAAAAAAAAATAGCTATTTTTAAATAGGTGATTGCTTAGCTTGCTACATGTGTTGCTCATGATTCTAACAGATTAATGTTTAGTTTTCAGAAGGAGAGGACTCTCTAAAAGAAGCATCAGAGAGTGAAGTCTTTACACACAAGAGCTATAAGTCACACCTGTTGAAAGCTAGATGGCAATCAATTTGCTGTAAATATGCAATGTTCCCACCTACAGTCCATGAATTTAAGATAGTTGTTGGTACGTTCACTTTTTGTCTTTGGAAATACATCTTTCCAACAACTAGGTTTGCTTTCTCTACAATTATTTAGTAACTTTTCATAATGGGAATGGGAGAACATTCCATAAGGTGGCTCTTCTTGTCCACTGATTCAAGGTCAAATTGGATTTCAATGTTGGTTTTTGGAGGACCCTGTAGAAAGACCTGTAGAGCAAGGACAAGAACCAATAAAAAACTCAACCCACGTGTGACGCAAGGTCCCGGAATTGAACCTATGGGAGTAAAAGGGCTCTTACCACTGCCAACCCCACCTTCCCAATTGATATTTATTTTTCATGCTGGAACTGTTGCCTAGTGACCTGCTTTAAACATTTAGGCAGACTCAATACCAACAAAACAGTCTGCTCAACCAGATAATGTTTTGGTACTAATTAACCACTCAATCAATTGATCAGTTTATCAGTCATTACCAACAGTTAATTTGTTCATAATTATTATCATTTTTAGATCCTCTGCTTGGTTCACTGACTCCTCTGGAATGGGCCATAGATGAGCTTCATAAGCTAACACAAATGGCTGAAGAGATCTTTGGTTTGGATGTGTTTTGTACTGGCAAACAGATGCAAAAACAAAAGGAAAATTTGTCAGGTAAGGGAATTGGAAAATTTTTGTGTCCATTCTTGACACAACTCTGGAGAGCTCTGTTTTGCAAGGTGGTACCCCTTATTCTAAGAGCTTCCATTAGGGACAATGAGTCCTGACAATCAGGATGATATGCTTAAGTCATGTGGTAAGCATTACTGCACAGTCCTATTTCAGGCTTTGAGACAGAGTCATGGTTGTAATTGGATTAGTTAAAATCCTGTTTAAATAATAGAGAAAGTGCAATCAAACTGGCCTGAAACATAAGAAGTTTTCATCTTTTTTATCGTTGAACTTTTTGATGCATATTCTGACATCTATTCTTCTTGTATGTGAAGATTTGCTAGCCAGGTCAGAGGGTTCTGGCCAAAGCCTTTTTAGACTGTCTATCCTAAATGACTTGCTGTCAGCCCTGTTACAAGTTGGTCAGCTGTATGCTCATCAGGGAGCTGTGAGGGAAGCATTGAGGCAATTTGTGGATGGAATAACACTGGCAAGGCAATTTTGCCTGCCATACAGGTAAACTATTCATATTCAGTAAAAGTTCTGTTAAAGTTTTGGACCCTTACCAAAAAAAAATGTCAGTGATCTTTTAAAAAAAAAATAAAGTTAGATACTAAGCCAATCATAAAATTTAGTTTAAAGATTGTTGTAAGAGCTCCAAATTTCAAAACTTTTTGGAACAGAGGGGCATTAGTATGAAAACTACTACATTAAAAAGTGTGTGTTTTATTTATATTGTAACTTATATATTTCACATATATTTTGATTGGTTCTTAACTGTGATCTGTTGAAGGATAGACACATAGATGATGTCACCTTAACAATATTTTCTTTTTTATCATACAAACAACTAGATATTATGTTACCATAGGTCTGTTCAGTAATAGATCACACAATGTCTAAATGTGTTAAACATCAGTGACACACTCAGCTGCACCTCATGAGGCACTTCTGTGATCTTGCCACATGTTGACGCAATGTGTGATCTACACTTATAACTGAACAGAAGCACAACAACGCACCAACTGTAGAACTTATTTGTGAACCAGATTGAAACTTGATTGTAACCTTGAGAATTTGTTCTTATTGTCCATAATTGCTTGTTTGTTTGAGTGCATTATTATTTTGATATTAGAAAAAAGGTGAAGGAGTTCAGTTTGAGATTTTAATGTTCTAAAATCTGATCTTTGCAATTTTTAGGACAATGGAATTCCTTATCAATGTTGCACAGCTTGAAGTGATGCAAGGCAAGACAGAAAAGAGCCAATATAGGGTTGATCAGGTGCAGAGAATCCTTCAACCAACTATGAAATCTGAAAGCAAGTCTAAACTCTCCGAATGTTGTGTTCAAGAACCACTGTTCACAGAACATCCACAAACATGTGAATGTGTCGGTTGCCTTGATCCTGTATTGCATGCTATCTTTGTGGAGTACTTGATGAGTCTTTCCAACCACCTTGCACTTACCTCAAGACCTGAACAATCATTGCTAGCCTTGGATGTGGCCAACTTAGTTTGTGAAACTGCTATGTATAAAATAAAACATGCTTTAAAAAGACTTGATGCTGTTGTGTATCCTTTGGAAACCAATGATGAAAGTTCAAAGGGAACAAAGAAAAGAAAAGGAGCCAATTCTGGAAGAGGGAGAAAACAGAAGAAGGATGCAGTGGCAACAGAATGCTCTATTTCACAGTCCATGTTCAGTCAGCATCAAGTTACTTTGCATTGCATGAATGTCAAGACCTTACTTCAGAATGGAAACCTTACAAAAGCCAATCTTGTGTTATCAGAAGCAATGGTGCTATTACACTATTTAGAAAATGTGAATCAGAGCATCCCAGCTCACTTGCTACATTGTAAAGCCATTTTACTACACTTACAGGGAGTAGCAGTATTGCTTGGAAACAGGAATTTGGCTAGTGAAGTTTCTGTAGATCATAACTGGTTTTATAAGACTCAGATGAACACCACATCTTGTGGAAATACAGAAGAAAATCCTATTGTTGTTGTGGATGATGAAGAACCTGAGCTTGAAATGCCAAGAAAGGCTTCAAATAGAAAAACCAGGACTTCTAAAGCTGTGGAAAAAACTTCTACTTTGGATAATGGGAGGAAGAAATCTTCAAGAGCAAAGGGCAGGGGAAAGAGCAAAAAAGTAGCAGAGGAGCAATTAGAATGTGAGAAATCTGATGCAAATGCTGAACAAAAGCCAAAGCAACAAACTAGGAAACAATCTAAAGCTATTTGTAGTGATGTGGGTGATCATATCCAAGGTATAGACCATTGTTTCCCAACTCTCATTTCATAACACACCAGTATCCTCTCTAGACATAGGACCATTCAAGATGGTCCCACCACAATTTTGTGAAAAATCATACCACCTAAAAATCTCAGCACTTAATAGGACTAGCGCATCTGAATTAGACACAAATCAGCTACAAATTATTCAAGTTGTTGATTTTGTTTTGACATTTCTCTCTTTCCTTCCCTACCCAGCTTCTGGCAAACAGCTAGATCAAGCCATCCAATACTTCAGTGAAGCATTCAATCTCTGTCAAGCGTGTCCTCCTCCTGCCCTGTTCTCTGACATCTGTCAGGGATTAGCCTTCTGCCTTGGAAGATCAGCACCTGAACTTGCAACATACTACTTGAACTTGTCCATGTCTGTTACTCTCAGACATCAAGCTGTTACCAGAACAGGAAAGAGAATAAAGTAAGACCTTACTATAAATTATTTATTGAGCATTAAATGACATTGAAATTAAATGGTGTAAATTGTTTTTGTTTTATTTGGCTGATATGAGTTCAACATTGAATTTGTTGAATTGGCAAATTTACCACATCCAAATCAGCAACATTTCAACCTGTTGTGTCCTTCATATCCTCACCATGGTATAGATGCCAAAGAGTAGTTGTTTAGCATAATTTGGAACTAGGTTGTAGAACACTCACCCACACTACAAAGAGAATGGCAAGGTTTACCAACTTTTTGTTGATTTAAGTTGTAGTTCAACTCAAATTTATTGATTATGACCTCACTGACTAATGTCCAGGGGTGTATTGTAATTGAATCCACTGTGATTTTGTTATTTCAGGAGATTAGCAAAGGATTTTTCTCAACCGTTGCCAGTAAGTACTTGTAACTACTCTGATGCACTTGGTAGATTTCTATTTGTTATGTATATCCTCTCAGCTATTATTAAATCTCAGTGGCCAAAAGGCACATCAAAGTTTGTCTGTTCCTCTGGATGGGATGCCAAAACAGGGAACTAGAACATGGGATGCCAGAACAGGGAACTAGTAAGATAAATCTACAAATAGATTTCTCTTTGTTTCCTTATTTCCTTTTTGTCTGATAGGAGAATGAAGGAGATCTAGTGCAGCTTGCAGAACATCTTTCTTCCCTATCACTTGATGACTCTTCAACTGATAATACTCACCATAAACTGGCAGCTCTGGTAAAGACTCGAAACATCATGAAGTTTTCTTTGTGTGCAAGTGAAAGAGGAAAACTATGTCTATTTACTCCAAAAGAAATTTCCCTTTTGCAGAACATGCCTAAAGGTACATTAAAATTATTTTATAAGAGATAGATAGCTTTCAGTTGTGTTATGCAGTCAAACCAGCATTAAATAAAGTGTTTAAGAGTTCAACTTCCTCAGGACTGGCTTGTATGACAGTATGACTTTAATAACATGAAAATTTATTCTTCCTGTGAACTGTGATAATTATTTATATGAAATGATTTGAGTTCTTTACACAAAATTACATCGTGAAAAACATTTTGATGCCAGAACACCACACTAAAACTCTAGCCAATTCTTCTGCTTGTGTCACATAGATAATTGCATTTTTCCTGATCTGACATTTTTTTAACAATTAGAACTGAACCTTAATATATAATTTTAAACAAATAATGAATTAGGTAATAATCCTGTAGTGTGATATTAGTGAGGTAGGAAATTAAATTATTGTTTTCTAGAGTGGACTGTTTGCACTTTGGAAACCTTCACACATCCAGTGAGCAAGGACAGAGAACTGCTGATCAGCAGGATGAGGGCTGGCTGTGATCCTGCTGTGGTTAAGATTAACACAACATCTGGAGAGGAACAGAGCAAGGATTGCATTGTATGTCACTTTGTTTGTAACAACTTGATTTTATTACAATTACTCTGTTAGATTCACTTAGGGAGAGTGGAGATTCTATCCCTAAGTTGGAAGAGGTAGTATCTTACCATCAGTGGTGATTCTGTAATAAAAGATATGATTGTAAGCTTTGTCTGAGGCCACTGCAATGAGTTCTTGGGTAAAGCACTAATTAAACTCTTGTAGTACCTCTTTATGTAGAAGATAAGTATGAATACGTGTAGCTTGATTAAGCAAACTATCTGGGATATCTGACATAGCCTGAGCTTACCAGATGAATTCTTATTTAACCACTAGAAAGTCTGTAAGTAATGATGATGAACATAACCAGACTTACCAGTATGTTCTTTTGGCAATGCAATTTAACTTAATTAACAATTGACTGAAATTTTTTTTTGGTAAAGGGAGATGAAGTTGTTATGGATCTTTCAAAACTGTTCCAGTCTGGTGTATTGGAGGAGTTTGCAGACATAATGAGTGACAGCATCAAAAGTATGAATATTAACAACACAGCAGAGTGGTGGGCACTGAGGACAAGGCTTGACAGGAGAATGAAGGTGATCAGACTTAAACTCCCACAAGTGATGAATGTGTATCTTCTCCTAACAGGATCAGTACAGTATACAGGAATAAGGAGAGGAGAAAAGGCAGATTCATCAATAACATAGTGTTATCTTGATATATCTCCAAATTTGAGGGAAAAATTTCAGAAAGAAATGTTTAAAGCTGAAAAGGAGAAGTAAAAATCAGATTTTTGAGGTTACAGTGTTTAAATTGGTAAAGTTAAATTATTTTGCTGGGGATGAGCAAAGTGCCTTTCTGCTGGTTTTGAACTTGCCTTAATCAAAGACTTTCAAGTATTTGATGGGCCAAATTCGTTAAATTTTTCTATAATCTATCTCAGCATTTTGACACATTATTTTTCTGGTCACATGGCCTGGTATTTCCATGGATAACAAAGTTGATAGATTGATATTTCCTAATGTGGCCCATTTTACGTCCACATTTCATGTTCATAGGAGTTATTGCCAGTACTTCATCTTCTGATAACGGCTTTTCAATTGATTCTGGCAACCATAACAAAAATAATCACAGTGGTCAATGAGAACTCTGCAACTGGAATCTAAATGAAGTTTCCAAGAGGCAATAAGAACTTTAAGAGAAAACATGTGGAGTGTGGGAAATGTCAGAAGACGCAGTTATATGACCAGGTCACAATTTGTTTTACTTCTGCATCCAATTGATGGAAAGTTTGGTTAGAGCTTTAAAGACCAATCTCAGTATGTAGTAAAGTATATCTAGAGTTATCTAGATTTATTTGCGAAAATCAAACAAGTTCCTCTGTTGTAACTTATTACCATGATCATCAGTGCATGGATATCACATAGTTAAAAAAGAAATTTGTGATTTTTCTGATCATTTCTTTAGAACCTTTTGGAGAAGATTGAAGGTTCTTGGCTTGGGAGATGGAGAGGAGTTCTTCTTGGTCAGCCTGTCAGTCAGGAACATCATGAATCAGTAGCATCCCTAGCTAGAGAGTTGGAAGAGAAGATATTTGTCATGTGTGGATACCGACCCGATTATCATTTGCTTGAGGTATGACATGCATGAATTGATCAGAGTTTCTTATGTTCCAAGAAAAGCAGATTGAATGATAAATGTTTTGTCTGTCGATCTTTGTTACTATTTATAAATCATCTTCTTAAGTGCATGATCTGGAAATGATGATTGAAGCAGCTAGCAAAACCTTGCATTGTAACTGAAAGGGAACCAGGGATGGTGCATTGGTGAGAGTACTTGCCTCCCACCACTGTGGCCACATGTGGGTTGAGTTTGTTTTTGGTTTGCAGCTTTGCTCTAAGGGGTTTTTTGTCTGGGTCATCAAGTTTTCCTCCCTCCACAAAAACTAACATTTTGAATTCCAATTTGACCTGGAACATGTGGACAAGAAGAGCCACTTTGTGGAATGTCCACAGTTGTATCTAATTATTATCATTATCATTATCATTATCATTATCATTATCATTATCATTATCATTATCATTATTATTATCATTATCATTATCATTATCATTATCAGTATCATTATCATTATCATTACCATTATTGTTATCATTATTATTATTATCATTAAGTGTTCTTTGTTTGTTTCAGGTCCTCATAGATTCATCATTCTGCTTGTCAAGAAAAGAAACTGCTGAAGCACTGATTGAAATTACTGGCATGGATGCGACCTTACCATCCTTTGAAAAAGTACAAACAAAACTTTTCATGCAAGAGAAGAATTCCTCAATGTCAGCTTTAGCAATGCTTGATATAAACCAATTGCAATTTGGTCTAACCTTCTTCCTAGACATAGCATCCCTCAGCTGTTGGGATTGTTTTTGTTTTGATTATTTGGTGTGCATTAAAATTTCACCGTATTAGTTTGTTGTGGTGGATTACCTGACAGGAGAATGTGTTTGGTCTTAGCAGCTAGACAGTGTTGTTCCTCAGCCTTGTCCCTTAAATTAATCATCTCTCATTTCATGATCTCTCACATTGTGTATTTCAGCTACTTGATGAAGTTGAGAACCTCACTGGCAAGCTATTTGAAGACAGAGACAAGAAGAGCAGCATAAACAGGTTTGGGGGAACATCAAGATTGATCTTCTTTCCTACTTTCCATTGCTTCTACTCTTGAAAATTATTGATGACGACAAAAATTTCTTCTCAGGTCTGGTGATCACTCTGCTGAGAACATTGCCCGCCATCCTGTAATCCTAATTCTTGGGAAAGTAAGAGCCAGCTTTTTTGGTCTGATATTCATTTAGTAATCAGCTATAAACATGTTCTATAGCTCTCGCTCTAAAGACCTGACAAATGTAGAGCCAACATGTAAGTTCTTTGTTAGTGGGTGTTGGTGGACTGTCAAAGAATCAAAGCTCAGCCAAATGCTGAGGTGGTTAAATTGTGGTAGCAAATATTACATATCAATTCACTCAGTATTGTTACAAGATAGCAATATATGAGCCAGAAATGACGAACCAGAGTCAGTTTATGGCAGTTGTATGAATCAAACTGACATCTTTTATGATTTATAGGAAATTCAGCATCTTCCTTGGGAAAGTATACCCATGCTGTTTGACCAACCTGTGACTAGGATCCCATCTCTGCAGTATCTTTTGTCCAAGGTACACATTCTATTACACCATTAAAAGTTTGAAAACCTGACTTGTTTCTCAAGAACTGTCTTGTTTTTCTCCCAAAACTGTATTGATTTTTGTCTCGGCTATGAAGTATGTTTGAAGACAGGTCGATGATGCCCATTTTGAGATTCCAAAGAGTAACCTAACCTTTTGAGAATTGTCTTCAAATGTACAAAAATTGGACTATAGATTCTGGGAATTTGATATTGCTTGGTAACCCAGCTGCTTACATGTGATTCAACAGACATTAGCTCACACTATGTCTGCACTGATTTTACACTGACCAGAACTGGAGGGTGAGAAAAATGGAAAAATAAAGACCAATGACTATAGTAGTAGTTTTTTTTTAACACTTTACATCCATTGTCATTTGTTTTGAACTGTGGGACATCATGTGCAGCTTGACAATACTGAGTTGTTTTCAAAATGGCAACATCTTTATACTTTTTTCTTCTTTTTTGCACATTTGGAGACAAATTTTAAAAAATTTGCAATACTCTTTGGAGTCTCAAAATACAGAGTATTAAGTTTTTCAAGATCCTTTTCAATGGCAGAGACAAACTATATGGTCTGACTAAACAAAGTTTAATGGTTGTTTAACAAAACCATCTTGTAAACAATCCTCAATTTAGTTGAACCTTTTTTTCTGATCACTTTTTTTGGTGTCAGGAGAACCCAAAGCTAGCAGTGGAAGGACATCTATTTAATTCTATTAATCCTCTTAAAGAGAAAGCCTGAAGCCCACTGGTTGTGTAAAACCATGGTTTGGGTTTGACCTTATGTAAATAACTGGCCCTATGGTTTCTGGAGCAAGGTTGTCCCTTAAAATAATGATTTCATAATTTCATTAGCATTTTTCTTTTTTTTTTTTTTTTTATAACATACATTTTGTTACACATCACAAAATGTATTTCATTTTGTTATCTATTAGCCAAGGTAAGCAAAAGGGGAAAATTGCCAGTTGATTGAATGGGTTGAAGCTCTCTTTAAGATGTGGTTGCCTGTCACAACAGTTTATGTGCCAGATTGTTAGTTTTTTAATACCATGATGTTTAGTATCAATAAATAATTTTTTTTGCATTTTTCTTGACAGTTATCTTGTCAGAGACAGTTGCCAGAGATTAATCCTGAGAAAACATTCTATGCACTCAATCCTCAGAATAACCTGCCTAACACCCAGAAAATGTTTCAGAAGTGGTTTGAAAGGTATGAAACACAAGCAAACAAACCAAAATGAAACAGAAGAAAGACCTGACATTGCTTTTTTTGTACATTAAACTAGGTTATACAAGTTTATAGAGGTTACTCAGTAAATAAACCCCTTCAGGCAGCAGGTATTGTGGCTGATGTCTGCAGTTGAGATATTGTGCAAAAAATGAACATTTGGACTGGAAGCAAAGCTTTGAGGGCAAATGTGAAATTTTGAGAGCAATCTGTCAGCAAAGGAAATTATCTGCAGACATCCCAGCAATTCATTCGAATCATCAAAAATTCCTATGATAAGATGACTTGCAGAGTCCTTCATGGTAGTGGATTGTCAGATAGCTTCACGGTCAACACTGGGGTCAAGCAAGGTTGTTTGATGGCACCGTTTTTGTTTCTACTTGCTATGGACTGGATCATGAAGGAAACAACTAGAGAACAGCGAAATGGGATCCAGTGGAACTTATTGGAGCAACTTGAAGATTTAGAGTTTGCTGATGATATCGCCCTGGTGTCAAGTAACAACCAACAAATGCAGGACAAAACAGCACGGCTAACAGCTAATTCCATCAAGTTAGGCCTGCATCCGAATGTGAGTAAGACCAAGGTTATGAAGGTCAACTGCACCAACAACAGACCAGTTAAAGTGAGGGATACCATCTTGGAGGAAGTAACATCTTTTGTCTACCTAGGCAGTGTAGTCAGCATTGACGGAGGTTCCGATGAAGATATCAAGGTCAGGATAAACAAAGCCAGAGTAGCTTTCAATATGCTGAGGAAAGTGTGGTCCTCCCATGTCATCTCACGGAGAACCAAATTTAGAATTTTTAACACCAATGTCAAAGCAGTCCTCCTCTATGGCTCAGAAACGTGGAGAACAACTAAGCAAATGTCCCAGAAATTGCAGACCTTCGTCAATAAGTGCCTTAGGCGAATTTTAAAAAATCAGTTGGACTGACAGGGTAACGAACGAGATGCTGTGGGAATTAGCAGGCGAGGAACCAATCATAACTCAGATCTCAAAGAGAAAGTGGAGATGGATAGGTCACATCCTAAGGAAACCGGCTAACAACATCACCCGGCAGGCACTACGTTGGAACCCCCAGGGCAAGAGAAAGAGGGGTCGTCCCAGGAACTCCTGGAGAAGAGGTGTAGAGTCCCAAATGAGAAACTGGGGCCACACTTGGGCCACTTTAGGAAGATTTGCCCAGGACAGAACCCGATGGAGGACGGAAGTGGTTAATGGCCTATGCTCCAACCGGAGCTAAGGGAGAATCATCATCCCAGCAAGCTAGAAGAAGGTTTATAACCTTCCCTTTAATTTTCATATCACTGGAATCTACAAAAAGAGGCCATTTTTCTTCCATCTGAAGTAATTCAGATGAAAAGGGAAACTTGCTAGCTTTTTTCTGCTGCGTTTGTTTCTTTTTTACAGAAATAATTGGAGGACAAATATCCACATAAAGGGGTTATTGCATGACAACTCTCCAATGATTTGCACCATGTGACATAGGGTAGCCTATAATATCATGTCAAAATTAATCATTAATTATTATCATTAATTAAATACACTATAAACACAATTGTTGTGGTTTGCAGTGAGGATGGATGGCAGGGTATCACTGGCAATGCTCCAACACAGGAACAGTTCAGGAGTGCTTTGACTGACCATGACCTGTTCATGTAAATTTCTGTAAATGCACTAGTAAACCTCCTATTTTATGAGTTCCCTTTGTCAAGAACATCAAGATTCTGGTGGGCCTCCTCTCTCTCATAAGCCACTTATGCCCCCCACCCCCTCTCTAGAACAAAAGCTACCCAATGCTTGTTATATACTTACAGAGCTATCAGTGCTGAAATACTAAGAGTTATGACTCATAAATGATAAAGAAGCTGAATAAAATAGAAAAATATATTTTTGGTTTCTTTTAGCAGTATACATACTTAAAATTTTGGTTGGTAGTAATGATTTATGTTATGTTGACTGAACTGTGTGCAATACTACTGGAACAAGAGAGATGATGGTTTTTGAATGGCATAGGCATACCTTGAAAAAAAGTTAATGTCAGAAGTCAGATCTATGACCCTTTGTATATGTTGTGGTTAAATTTTATCCTTGGTTCAAATTTTATTTTCCTTTGATTCAAACTCATTATCATGCATTACAATACCCAAAAACAAACAAAAATAAAATTTGAACCAAGGATAAAATTGAAGCACAACTTGCATCCAAGATATGGTAGGGTTGTAATATCTAAGATGCCAAGCTAGGCCCAAAATACAAACATGGACATGATAAACATTTTCAGATTAGGTATCTACAGTACAAAGTTTTATTGTTTCTGTTGCTTTAATCATCACATCAATATTCTTTCTAGATATTTTGGTCATGGCACTGGACGTGAATTTCTCCAGGGTGATGACATTCAGAGGTTGGATTGTCGAGCGGTCACTCTGCTTATGGGTTGCAGCTCTGGAAAATTACAGGTTAGTATATTCCAGACTGTGGAGGATAAATATTTCCATACAATTGGTGCAGACAAACCAACAAAGGCAAAGGAAGTGTTCAACTGTTTGGTTCTTTTGTGAAGTATGCATGTTGAGACTGGGGCATATTAGTAACTGAATTGTTTTAAATTCTCAAGGTTGGTGGTGAGTGTGAGCCAAGAGGGATGGCATTAAACTATCTTCTTGCAGGCTGGTATGTTTTTGATGTTCCTTTGTTGCATTAGTTTGCCTTAAAAAGTCTTTATGGCTGTGCTCTATCAGTGTTTTCAATAACTTGTTCACTAAGCAGCTGGTAATATTGTATTAGGCAGCTGTACTCAGAGATGGAGCCATAAAGCAAAACCCAAATACAGGAGCCTATTTTTAACTC